TATATATCTGTGTACGTATATATGTTATCTTAGATGAGTTTCAACCTGATTGCATTTTTTCACACTTATATTTAATTCATCTTGAATATGCACGCATCCATAATTCCGGAACCTTCACGGGCTTCTCCTGGAAAAAAACGAGTTCTTGGACTTACGCTCTTCTGCCGCTCGAATACAGAATTATGATCGACGAAAGCAAGCCGTAGGATATACCTTCTCCCAGCTTGCTCCACAGACAATAATCGGAAATGCTCGGAGTTATGTGTCAAAGTTAAATTTGATTTCCGCACGATGCGATTAAAGAATTTTTCGCATTTTCTATCGATTCTTTTTTTTTTTTTTAATGCAAGAAAGTCAAAGTTGAAAAAAATATATTTAGTTTTTTCTTTCTCGAATTTATAGAGTCGAAAAAATAGAATTTAGATTAATTTCGAAACCTTTTAACTCTTTTCGAGGTAATATCGCAACGATAGTATGACTGATGTTAACTAAAAAAATTTGGCCAAGAGAACGGATAAATTCAACTTTCTCGACCTTAAGAGATTAATCATAAGTTAGATTATTGTTGTAAATTCTTTGTGTCTTTGCAGAGGCACTATACAATGATAAGTGTATCCGTTACTCTATCCACTGCTATTGTTTGTTTAACATTCATTCACATCTAATGTGCGCCATTAATCACGAAATCTTAAAGATAATGAAACAATATGGCAAATAGTTTTATAACGTTCGATTATTCTGGCGGGAGATCAGACAGACAGAGGCGGAGAGACAGAGTGTATTTCAGAGAGAGAAAGAGAGTGTGAAACGAACACTTGCTGTGACTCTTACGCGGCGCTTCAAACATCACAGATTATATTATCATGTATATGTATTATGTGCATCGGAATGGCAACTCACCTGGATCGAGAGAGTACCTGTACAGTAATTGAGACGAATATGGTTATATTGTTTGGTGCATACCTGGCTCATTTCTCACTCACTAACCAATCAAGAGAAGTTACTTGTGACTTCGGCTTCGCGAGCGGTGACGGCGACGATTCTGATGGCTGGAGCTCCGATGATCGCGATTCCCTGAAATTATTGTTATTGTTATTGCGATTATCGGGCACAGTTCGACATCTACAGCACACACACACACACACACACGCACACGCACACACACACACACACGCACACGCACACACACACACATTAGAAGAATCAAATCATAGCTCACCCTTATCTCGACCATGACGTCGATAATTATCTTCGTCCCGATGGTGTCTTTCTCGCGATCTACTTCTACTTCTGTGCCCAGAATTTCTGTAACCAGTAACATCTCTCCATTAGATTGACTTGTTCGAGTATCGTCAGATGTCGGTTTTTATCAAAATATAATAAAAAAGTAATCTATTGTAAAACGATTCACCTATGACTGCTAGAGTCGTGACGGTTTTTATCATCATCTATTCGCCTGCTTCGACGTTTGTCCCTGTCTCTGTCGCGATCTCTATCTCTGTCGCCATCTCTCCGCCGCCTGTCGAGCTCTTCGTTCGCTCGTGCTCTTTGCTTTCGTTCCTCCTCTCTCCTCTGCTCCTTCTCGTCGCGCGCCTTTTCGCGTTTGTTCTGCACGCAAACGATTTTAATTTCATCTTGAGTTTCAAAGACGCATCTAATGTTGCAAAAAATCTATCCTCACCATGATTTCTTGAAGGGCACTTTTTAGTCTCGCATAGCCCACATGCTGTTTTCCCATTAAATGATCGTCAATCCGTTGCTGGGCGTCGCCCACGATAAGGAACGCGCCGCACACGTCGCACACCTCCATCTGTTTCTCCTGCGCGGCCGCTAGTTCAGCAGTCTACAAATGAGTTTCATAAAGTTAGTATAAACGCAAGTTATAAAGCATTATATTCACTATTTTTTATTAGATTCTTTTGTTACCATAAATTATAATATCTATAATTTATTACAGATGATAATTGTAACTTTCATATAAATCAAAATAATCAATCTACAAACTCACTTGATTGTAATGGCTATTGTCGTTGGATTTTCTCAGGGTTTCGCGCTCTTCCTTCAATTGGTCACAAAGACGCATTAGGCCCTGCGCCTGCTCCACATTGCCTTGAATTCCACTCTGCTCGGCTTCTTCCACTAATTTATTTATCTTTTCTGTCAACAGAGCAATCTGCTCCTCATTCCTTTGCGTTTGCGCCGGGGTTAACGTCGGCTGTACACAAAGCATTGAATCATAATTTTTGTATTTATAATCTTGTAATGAAAAACTTACTGCTTCTGTTCTCCCAATCAGTGCCAATCGCTGCTTTCCTTTAATGATCTTTCGCTCCACTTCGTTCAACATGCTTTGACAGTACCTAATAAATTCATCCTCATATTGCTGCTTACGATACGAATATGGTGCTTTTTCGAACAATTCTCTAGCTTCATCGTCATGTACCTTGGGACATGCACCCAAGTCTGCTCTTGTATTAACAAATAGATCATGAGGACAGAACTTTACCAAATACAGCTTGCAAAACTAAAACACAATAGATAAGCTTTGATAAATATAAAGTGCAAAAACATTAATCATTAAAGATGTGATTAAGGTACAAATAAGATATAAGAATAATATCTATGTTTTCAGAATCTTCCTGTAACATTGTCAAGAAAAATAAATAACTATAAACTGTATATTTACTCTTTTTTCTCATATTTTCTACATCTTACAGTCTCTTAACTATATCTAATATATATTGTAACTAATTTCTCTAATAGTTATTATTATTAAACTTTTTCATTCTCGTAATTCCCTTTGAAATTAATTTGAGGAAATTTTCAAGAATGGCGAATTTTTTAAACTTGATTCTTTGGAATATTTGATCATATACGTTCTCGTTATTTGGAAACTTGAACGGAAACGGCAAACAAAAAAAAAAATTTTGTCGAGGTAAAGGGTTAACAAAACAGCATTTGAAAAATTTTCTGCGAAAAACAGATCAAAATTTTTCGTGGAGATGTCTTTAGCATCGGACGATGAACTCACCTCGGGATCCTCCCAGTTGAGCTCTTTGGGCTTCTCGTTGGGCAAAACGTTTCTGTTCCGGCCCATAAGCTCGTCAAGCAGCGCGGCGGCCGCGGCGGCGGCCATCTTGTTTCGGCCACACTACGACGATCGTCGCAAGCTGCGCGCGGAATTCGCGTCCGGAGAGAACACGATAAGAAAAAGTCCACGATGAGAAAATCGCGCTGAGAGTGACTCGACGTATAGATGAAAGAAATGAATGAAAAATAGAGATTTTGACGGAATGCGTGCAATCTCGGGACTCGGGACTCGCGACTCGCGGCGGCAAACACGATCGTGACAATTGCAAAGCGAACTAAGGACTGCGCCGCCAGGTGGCGTTGTTGCGGTGAACAGCTGAACTATCGCCGTTCAATTATCAACAATTACCGAAAATGTATGAGAACTACGAGATGTTTCATCCAAACAAGCGAAAATCTTCACTCTAAAGGGCCGTCTACAATGGCAGTAACAAGGCTGTAGGAGTAGGAGAGTATACTGTTTTTAGTGATGTTTAGACGGGGAGTAACGAAATGGGCAATTCCCATTTGCTCTTAAAAGTATACTCTCCTACTCCTACAGCCTTGTTACTGCCATTGTAGAATGCCCTTAAACAGCCTTGTTACTGCCATTGTAGACGGCCCTTAAAGGCTGATTTATGCAGGCCGTAACTGTTAATTTATGCCGGAACCGTTAAAGTTTAACACTAGGATTACAATGCTTTTGTTCATAATGGTCCTTTTCTACGTGGGCATCGGCCCCCACTCCTCAACACTCGGTCTAGATATACTATGTCTATGGTATCGATCATGTAACTTTTCCCCTAGGGCGGAAAAGTGAAAAATGAAAAATTTTGCCATTGATTTCAATGCTAATATTTTTCACTTTTCACATTTCCACCTTAGGGAAAAGTTACATGATCGGTACCCAGAATGGACTGCTGATGGTAGCGGAAGGGGAGTCGTACGAGTAGAGTGAGAAGCAGATAATATGAGATCACTTCCGTCTCTTTCTAATAAAGCCTGATTGGATCAGCAGTACTGCTGATTTCTTGCATCAGCAGTCCATTCTATATGTCGATGGTCACTGGTCACTGGTTCGAGGTTCGAGCGTTCGAGTTCGAGGCTGTCGTCATCCGCAGTTACGTTCAAGCGGTTGTCACAGTGCGAGCCTACGAGCTGCGAGCTGCGAGCGAGTGTTTGTGTGCGTGTGTGTGTAAATGTCGGTTGACGTCTATTCCGAGATACGCCGACGGGTGATGTTGTAGATCGTTCTCGAGGAAACTGCATTGCCGCGGTGCTGTTACCGTCTCGAAAACTTGGATGCGATTGTCGTCTCTTCACGTAGGTGAGTAATCTCGTACCTTCTGCTTGCGCGGAGTTTTATTTATTTAGTTTATTCTGCTAGCAATCTTTGACGTTCTCGAATTCACAGCGAGAGATTGCGCATAGGATAGAAATTAAACAGTGAAAGATGTTGGCGAGCAGCCAGATGGACGTCCGAGATAATTACATGTACAGCTGTTTGCTAGTCCACTTCGATGTTGACACTTTGAGGTACGAGCATTAAACGAGCACAGATTCTCCACCGCAGCGTGGGGAGTGGTGACGATGCAAAATAACTCCAAAACTAGAGAGATGTTTATCGTTCGAGCTTTGGAGAAGATATTGGCCGATCGAGATGTCAAGAGATCGCATCTCTCGCAGCTCAGGAAATCTTGCGAATCCGCACTCGGTGAGAATTCGAAGATTTTTCCAAGAATGTACATAGTTGTTACACGCGATTATACTTGTATTCACGTATTTCTATTTTGCAGAGGACCTCCGCAACGAGATCAAAGATGTACCGGTTGTGCAAGGCGAAGAAGTGACCTCAAACGCCCTTCCACAGCCCAAAAGCGACTCGAACGTCATCACAGCGGAGAAATACTTTCTACCGTTTGAGTTGGCATGTCAGAGCAAGTCGCCGAGGATTGTAGTGACCGCGCTGGACTGCCTGCAAAAGTTGATCGCGTACGGCCATCTCACCGGCAATGTGCCCGACTCGACAGAGCCAAACAAGTTGTTGATTGTGCGCATTGTCGAAACGATCTGTGGCTGCTTCACTGGTCCGCAGACCGACGAGGGCGTGCAGCTGCAGATTATTAAAGCCCTACTGACTGTGATGACGAGCCAACATGTGGAGGTGCACGAAGGCACGGTGTTATTGACGATTCGTACCGTTTACAACGTTTACTTGGCGTCACGCAACTTGGTGAACCAAACAACCGCCCGCGCGACCCTCACGCAAATGATCAACGTGATCTTTGCACGGATGGAGACTCAGGCAGAGGAGGAGAATGTGAGAATCGATGGGGAGCATCAGCAGCAGGAGGCTGTTGTTGTGGCGAACGGTGAGGCTGAGGCTGAACTAAACGCGGAAAATGCCTCCGACACCGTTGATCCTCAAACGATTGTCAAGGGTATTCTCGATGATGTGGTAAACTCGGTGGTGCCGTTGGAGGAGGAAGTCAATCTAGAGAACGGCAGTCCAGAGGACAATGGCGACGAAGCGACCGCCGAGAATGACAACATGGTCACCGCCAAGTTCACCCACGTGCTGCAGAAAGACGCGTTTCTCGTGTTTCGCGCTCTCTGCAAACTGTCGATGAAACCTCTACCGGACGGCACACCTGACCCAAGATCGCACGAGCTTCGGTCCAAGATCTTGTCGCTGCAGTTGCTCCTAGGGATCCTGCAGAACGCTGGCCCGGTATTGCGCTCTAACGAGATGTTCGTCATCGCCATTAAACAGTATCTATGCGTCGCGTTGTCTAAGAATGGCGTATCCTCAGTACCGGAGGTGTTTGAGCTCTCGCTGGCGCTGTTCTTGGCACTGCTTGCGCGTTTTAAAGTGCATCTCAAGATGCAGATCGAAGTGTTCTTTAAGGAGATCTTTATGAACATTCTCGAGACCTCCAGTAGTTCCTTCGAGCATAAATGGATGGTCATACATGCGCTCACGAGAATTTGCGCGGATGCCCAGAGTGTCGTCGACATCTACGTCAACTACGATTGCGATCTCTCCGCGGCGAATCTCTTTGAACGACTCGTTAACGATCTCTCTAAGATCGCCCAGGGTCGCCAAGCCTTGGAACTCGGTGCGTCACCGAATCAGGTGCGTTGCAAGCAATGATAGAAGGAGAAAGAGAAAATAGGATAGATGGGTTATTCAAAAAAGAGGACACTTTATCGAGAGACAATGCCATTTTCTAGTTTTTAATACTTGCGTCTTCCAGGAGAAATCCATGCGTATTCGTGGTCTCGAATGTCTCGTTTCCATCTTGAAGTGCATGGTGGAATGGAGCCGAGATCTGTATGTGAACCCGAGCGTGCCGGCAGATCAGCAACCACTCTCGGATCCACCAGACCCGGCGCCAGAAACCCCGCTGCCGCGCTATGGCAGCGCCGGCAGTCTCTCGTCGGCCAACTCCAGTCTGATCGGTAACAAGGAGGTGCCGGACTCGCCGGAACAATACGAGGTACAAAAACAGCAGAAGGAGGTGTGGGAGACCGGCATTGAGATTTTCAGCCGGAAACCCGGCAAGGGTGTGCAGTATCTGCAAGAGCAGGGGCTACTCGGTACCTCACCAGAAGACGTGGCTAGATGGCTGCATCTGGACGAACGGCTCGATAAGACCGCCATCGGCGACTTTCTGGGTGATCATAATCACAATCAGGTAACAGAGAATGTAAAGATTATATAAGCTATATGTGACAATATTTAATAACAATTGTCAAGCGATAACTATTTCGGTAATCAATTTAGGATATTGTTTAAATTTTTCTATATAATCAATTACGGAATGATGTAACAAAATCTGATCTTACTTCACTCGTGCAGGTAATGTACCACTACATTGATCAGATGAATTTTGCTGAGCGCGATCTAGTAACCGCGCTGAGATATTTTCTGGAAGGCTTTCGGCTGCCCGGCGAGGCGCAGAAGATCGACCGGCTGATGGAGAAGTTTGCCAGCCGCTATTGTGAGTGCAACCCCAATAATGGCCTCTTCACCAGCGCGGATACAGCCTATGTTCTCGGTTTCTCAATCATAATGCTGACCACTGATTTGCACTCACCGCAAGTTAAGAATAAGATGACCAAAGAACAGTATATTAGGTACAATACATTTTAAACTGATTACAACGAAATTGCGCGTGCGTGCGTTCTCTTTTTATGTTTTGTGAAAGAGGAATTTATATTGATATCAAGTTTGTAATGTGATATGAAGTTTTCATTACTTATTTTATTTTTATTGTTAATTGTCTGTTTAAGTATAAATTGAAAGGGTCTTTTCTATTTTATCTTGTTTGTCCGTCCAGGCTTAACCGGCGTATTAGCGACAATGAGGATCTTCCCGAGGAATACCTTTCTAGAATCTATGATGAAATCGCCGGTAACGAGATCAAGATGAAGTCGAACCCCAACAACAGCCGGCTTGCCGGCAAACAGCTGATCTCCAGCGAGAAGAAGCGACGATTGCTATGGAACATGGAGATGGAGGTAATCTCTACAGCGGCGAAGAATTTGATGGAATCTGTCAGTCATGTTCAGGCACCGTTCACTACGGCAAAACATCTCGAACACGTGCGCCCCATGTTCAAGATGGCCTGGACGCCGTTTCTCGCGGCCTTCAGCGTCGGCCTGCAGGACTGCGACGATACGGAGATCGCGTCGCTTTGCCTCGATGGCATCAGGTGAGAGAATATTTTAGGAATGAAAACTTTCACATACTGCCTTTTGTAACTAACCATTTATATTATATCACTTATTTGTAACGTTCTCTACAGGTGTGCTATTCGTATTGCCTGCATTTTTCACATGAGCCTTGAGCGCGATGCTTATGTGCAGGCGCTGGCGAGATTCACTTTGCTGACGGCTAACTCGCCTATTACCGAGATGAAGGCGAAAAATATCGATACCATTAAAACCCTCATCACGGTAGCGCATACCGATGGCAACTATCTGGGGAGCTCGTGGCTCGACGTCGTCAAATGCATTTCTCAGTTGGAATTGGCACAGTTGATTGGCACCGGAGTACGACCGCAGTTGCTGGGCCCGCCATCGAAGCCGCATTTCCCATCGCCGTTGGCAAACTTTGGCAATCTCGCGCATTCTGCCAGTTCGCACCAAACCAGTAATCTCAATCTGAGCTCGTTAGACCCCAGTGTAAAGGAGTCGATCGGCGAGACCAGCTCGCAGAGCGTCGTCGTAGCCGTCGATCGTATCTTTACCGGTTCAACGAGGCTTGATGGCGATGCCATTGTCGAATTCGTCAAAGCTCTCTGCCAAGTCTGTCTTCTTTATATTAAATTGGTACAAGTCTTAGATATAAAATTAAATAATGAATATTTCATTATCATAGGTCTCTCTCGAGGAGCTGGCGCACCCTACACAACCACGCATGTTCTCTCTCACAAAGATTGTCGAAATCTCGTATTATAATATGGGTCGTATTAGATTGCAATGGTCCAGGATCTGGCAAGTACTTGGCGACCATTTCGACAGGGTAGGATGTAGTCCTCGGCAAGATATCGCGTTCTTCGCCGTGGATTCTCTGAGGCAACTGGCTACAAAGTTTATTGAGAAGGGCGAGTTCGCCAACTTCAGGTTCCAAAAGGACTTTCTCAGGCCATTTGAACACATCATGAAGAAGAATAGGTAATTTAACTTGATATTCACTTAATATTAATGATTTACTTTATATTTAATTTGACATAATTAACATAATGTATCTGTAATTCAATTGTATGTGTAATGTGACCAATAATTTAATCTAATTCAGGTCACCCATGATCAGAGACATGGTCGTCAGATGCGTGGCGCAAATCGTTCACTCGCAGGCACCCAATATCAGATCTGGTTGGAAGAATATCTTCAGCGTTTTTCACCATGCGGCCAGCGATCGTGACGAGTCCGTCGTCGAACTGGCCTTTTCCATGACTGGCAAAATCATTAGTGAGTCATATTTTTATATCTTCCAAAATGATATCTCCCAAATTGATTGATGAATTTTATTATCGTTGTTAATTCGAATTGATGTGTCTATAGACGAGTTGTATGCAGAGGACTTCAGCATCATGGTGGACTCCTTTCAGGACGCTGTCAAATGTCTGAGCGAGTTCGCTTGCAACGCATCTTTTCCGGACACCAGCATGGAGGCCATACGGTTGATACGTTCCTGTGCGTCCTATATCGATGCGAATCCCAATCTGTTTGCCGAAGGTATGATGGATGACAGCGGGATGGTCTCGGAGGAAGATCGAGCCTGGGTAACGTTATATTCACTCGTATATTTTGCTCGATGTTAATATATTTGTTTCTATTTTGTCTTTTTTTTTTTTTTTTATAGGTGAGAGGATGGTTTCCATTACTGTTTGAATTATCCTGCGTGGTGAGCAGATGTAAGCTGGATGTTAGGACGCGCGCGCTGACAGTACTCTTTGATGTCGTCAAGACTCACGGCGCGTCCTTTAAACCTCATTGGTGGAAGGATCTCTTCCAGGTTCTTTTCAGAATCTTCGATAACATGAAACTGCCCGAACAGCATACCGAGGTTTGTACGAGTTTGTACCTTTAAAAATGAAAATAAGCTTTTGCAAAGAAAAAAGCAGGCTTATTCTTGTTTTTTTCTTGAAATGATAAGTGATTGGAGCATCTGAATCTTGAATGTTGTAGAAAGCCGAGTGGATGACGACAACGTGTAACCACGCACTGTACGCCATTGTAGATGTTTTCTCACAGTTTTATGATATTTTGGGTCCCTTATTGCTGGAGCAGCTGTATTTCCAGCTTCTCTGGTGCGTTCAACAGGACAACGAGCAATTGGCTCGGTCGGGCACTAACTGCCTGGAAAATCTGGTCATCAGCAACGGTATCAAGTTCGACGAGCGAACCTGGGAGAAGACTTGTCAGTGCGTCTTGGATATTTTCGAGAGTACCCTGCCGTCCGCTCTACTCACATGGAAACCGCAGTCGCCAAACAAGGAGTCCGATCTCGACGTGATCACTGGCGAGTCCGACGGCCTCCATATTGGTATCCTGAAGCGGAGCAATAGCGCGCAGAGCCTCAACACCGAGTCCCTGCCGAAGGCGAAGCTCTTCTCCGCGTTGCAAATTAAGTGTATAGTTCAGCTCGAATTGATACAGACTATCGACAATGTTGTCTTTTATCCGGCGACCTCGCGTAAGGAGGATCAGGAGAATTTGGCGCTCGCACAGGCCGACATGCTGAACGGCAAGTCGTCAGAGCTTGTTAAGTAAGTGTTTTGTTACTATGTTCGCACATTCATAGCTATAAAAAAATTGAAAGATATTTCTGAATTCTAAAGATTTCAAGATTTAATTAAAGAATTTGGCATTGGGCATCAATATACAGGGTGTCCGGTAATAGACGGATCGCCTCTCGTATGCAGTTAGTGTGGGTCAAATCAAGTAGAAAAATCCTGTACTATTTTGTGATCTTCGCAATAATTAATGAAATATTAATTTTAAAAAATCGGCCAATCCGTGCGAGTAGAAGTTCGTGGCGAGCCGGGGGAGGGGCGTTCTTCAATGGCTATGTATGAGCGGCAGCGACTCCAGCGTTACGCGCCGCTCGTACATAGTTATTGTCCTTTGAAGAACGTCCTTCCCACTGTTTCGCCACGCGCTTCTACTCGTACGGATTGGCCGATCTTTTTTAATTAATATTTTATTAATTATTGTAAAGATCGCAAAATGGTCTTTTCTAAACAGGACTTTTCTACTCGGTTTAACCCGCTCTACCTGCACACGAGATCCGTCTATTACCGGACACCCTATATATATATCTACATTGACATCCTATCCGATGTTTTTAAAATTAATGTTCATTGTTTTTACTCGATCGCTAGCCTACGTTTGATTATAATTCGATTCAAACAAGTTGGTACTTTTTGTTTTTTCAATACTCACAGCAATATGCATCGTATCTATAGGGCCACCGCCGATCAACAGAAGGAGGAACAGGGCATGTATTGCGCTCTGACGACTAACCACCTTCTGCAGCTAGTGGAATGTTTGCTGCGATCGCATCGCTTCGCGAAGAACTTCAACTCGAATCACGAACAGCGCAACGTACTGTGGAAGGCCAGTTTTCGCGGTAACGTGAAACCGAACTTGTTGAAACAGGAAACGCAGTCGCTTGCCTGCGCGCTACGCATCCTCTTCAAAATGTACAGCGACGAAGCACATCGGGCGGACTGGCCCAAGGTCGAGGCACGGCTGGTCGAGGTGGCGTGCGAGGCCTTGGAGTATTTCCTCGCGCTCGCCAACGAGGCTCATCGCGAAGCCTGGACGCCGATCTTGCTGCTGCTGCTCACGCGCATCCTGAAAATGAGCGACAACCGCTTCGCGGTTCACGCCTCCACTTGCTATCCCTCCCTCTGCGAAGTCATGTGTTTCGATCTCAAGCCCGAGCTCAGATCGGTATTGCGTAGGTTCTTCCTCAGGATCGGACCGGTCTTCAGAATCACGCAGCAGTAATAGTTACGAGCTAGTGAGCTACGGATCTTATTACTATCTTGGAATCTTGTGATCTCCAGTTTCAACGGAACTCTTTTGCGAGAGAAACGAATGCCGTATGCCAATCTCGACCCCCAATAGGATAGGAATGTAATGAAATATAAAGCGCGATTAGATACTTTGGCTTAAACCGTTTATATACAATCTATAATGAGATCAGCAGCGTCAAAAATTTTTTCAGCGTATTCGTATCATCGTACGCTTCATCGATTTGCTTTCACTCTTCTGTGTGTAGCATTACATCTAGCGCTAAATATGACTTGGATTTTATTTGTGCAATAAACAGATTCATGCATGAGCGGCATATCAATCGCGGTCAATAATAACTTGATCATATCGTGACGATTTATTAATTAATATAATTTTATTTGTAATATATAATGTGTGTGTGTATATGTATATGTATATATAACATAAAAAAAAAATTTATTTTATATATATTTTACATACAAAGATTTAGCGCTAAATGTATAATGAAATTAAACTATTGTAAACATGTTTACATAATGTTTATTGCAGAACTTTTTGAATCGTATATGAACTGTTTAATACCATGTATACACGCGTTTATTTAATACAATGGAATATAGTTATGTGTGTGTGTGTATGTACGTATGTATGTATGTATGTATGTATGTATGTATGTATGTATGTTTATATGTATGCATATGTACGTATGAATAAGGCAACGCAAGCAGTTGAAAATTGACAACATATATCTTCGAATCCAAAGTTAATTTTCTTCTGACTTGGATTTTGGACGCGGCAATATTTCGTGCAATTTTTTAAAATTCGGATTCCGTGATTTTAAATATCGTATCAATCTTGAAGATAAAATTTACTATTGGCATATTCAATGATTTATAGCAGAATCTAGTTCGAAAATTTGATCATTAATCATCATGTAGTTAGTTGAGAAAAAATAGTTTTATTGCTACTACTAACTTTTATCTAAGCGAATGATTTTTAAATTTGTAAAGGAAAAAGCGAAGGAGGATTATCACGCATTTCCATATGTCTTGAGATGCCATGACGTATGTATGTACATTATAAATAACGATGGAATAGCTAGCTAGGCATTGTTGAAGCGATAAACCTTTACAATTTGATAGAATGTGAAAAAGAGAGAGTGAGCTTGTCTGTGTATATGTATGTACGAAAATGATAAATGAAAGAAGAAACAAGTGTTGTCAATACGTAGAAGATCTAAAATAAACCACTTATAAGCATGTTATCATTAATATTAAAATCATTATGTATGTATATTCGTATTGGAGGAAGAGTATGTTAAGTAACTTATATATATAAAATAGAACGATTGATCCTTTGATATCGTTCAAAGTCTTATTTAAATAAATTCGATGAAAAAAATATATATATGTATATATACATAACACACATACACACACATATATGCGTGTGTGTATGTATGTATGTTGCATTTTTTATATGAAATTAATCCTCGAATTTTCGCACCCTCGAGTTCAAGTAGAGAGAAGCTTCCTCTCTGTTTTTTTCCTCTAGTTCAAGACTTGTCCTCTCTTGCACGTTCTATAAGCTATAAATGTCTCTTTTGTTCTTCAATATTTGTAGGAAATGAAAAGAAACTAAAAGCTATTACACATTGCACGTGAAAAAGTTTTAGTCGTAATCGTAAAGCCATAAGCAAATCGACCAATCATAACATTCTAACAACGTTATAAAAATGTTTAACTGTGATTGGTTGATTTGTTTACGGCCTTAAGGTATAATTTCATGTGCTCACGAGTCAGCGGCCACACTGTCATCACTCATTCGTTCATTCATTTCGATCATGAGAACACATGAAATTGTAACTTTGCGGTTATGACTAAAATTTTTTCATGTGCAACGGCCTTAGGGAAGTTCAAGTTTCAAGTTACATACAAATCACATTAAAGGTCGAAAATCGCGCGCGTAAATAATTGTTTATTCGTGTTTATTACTTATGATTGCATTGGACGACGTTTCCTCATGCACAACTCGGCTCTGCGAATCTTCAAACGGTGTGCGAATTATTTTAATATTGCTCGAAGTGCGTCATGCCATTTTTCGCGTAAATTCGCAGGTTAATGAAGCATAACCTTCAAATCAAAATTTGACATTTAACACGTTGTATAAATAATAATGATACAGTAATAATATAATGTAATACAAATAATGATGGTAATAATATAATATAAGACAAATAATCATAGGTAGATTTTTTTGGCATTTGTGCAAATACAGGATTTATATTACTATGTGTAAACAGTACATAATAATTTCTATGATATAAATGATATTACTATCATGAATAAAATAATATTTTATTTTATAGATAGTAACAAATATATAATTATATTGAAACAACATATAACAATATAATTATAATGTCATAATCTACTAATGTAATAATTATGTAATAATATTTCTTATATATATATACACTTGCACACACACACATTTTTCTTGCTTTAATATTTATTCATGCATATGTGTTTTAGGTTTTGCAAACCAAAGTTACTAGGCGCTATAGCCAAAGTAAAGACTCGCTGTACAGATCCACTGCTTGTCAGACACAAAGCGCAAATAGCAATGCTGGACGGCGAAAAGTTGAGAGAGTTGGATGTTTCTGCACAACAGGAGATGAGCTCACTATCCTGGCTGCGTACTGTAGCTCCTGTCTTTCCAGTGAATGGCTCCAAAGTAAAGCAATTACATATAAATATAACCAAAAGTAAATATATTACTTCAACAAGAATGCTTTTATCAACAGATTACTGTAATTCATAAGCCACAAGTGTTTTATACTACGCTGTTGGAGAAGTGCAAGCACGCCAAGAACAGAATTACATTTGCCTCGTTGTACTTGGGTACCGGTCCTTTAGAAACTGAGTTGGTAGGTATAATAAAGGCAGATAAGTTTATAATAAAAAAACTTGTCAAGCCAATCAATTGAAATAAAAAAATCTGTAATAGTAAACTATAAAATTACAGAAAAAAAGATTAGGATTGAGAAGAAAGAGAGAGAGAGAGAGAGAAAAATGATCAATTTTCTAGCTTTCAAACTCTAGCTTCTCGGAAAACGAAGTCTCGTTTCTCGGCGCAGGTGAACGTTATAGAACAAGCAATGAATACGAGTGATGGCAACATACAAGTGCGGATTCTCCTGGACTACATGAGAGGTTCACGGGGCAAGCAGAACTCCCGGAAGATGCTGGAGCCATTGCTCAAAGGCCAATACGGTGATCGCTGCAAAGTTTTCCTCTATCACACACCGAAACTACGCGGCGTCATGAAAGCGACGATCCCCGACCGCTTTAACGAGCTCGTCGGTTTGCAGCACATGAAGTTGTACATAATCGATGATGATTTGATCATTAGTGGGTAGGTTGAATGTTTTTATCGCGATAATTAGTTGAGAATGAAGGAATTGTAGAATTTGTTCAAATTGTTAGTAATAGCTGATCCAAGAAAAAAGGGAAAATGTTTTTTGATGATTTTATTTTAATAATTTTATATATAAAATGATAAAAAGATCGATTTTTTTATGTTATCTTGAGAATTGTCAGAAATGGTAACAACATATTTTTAATGTCTTAGGGATGTACAATATAAAATAAAGTAAAAAAATTTTATGTATACTTTGTATATAGAGCAAACCTCAGCAACGATTATTTCACAAATCGGCAGGATCGATACTTTGTCATCGAAGATTGCAAGGAACTTTGTGACTTTTATAATAGATTAATCGAAAAAGTTATGGAATTTAGCTTTCTGTTACAACCGGATGGTAATACAGATTTGAATCCTGCTGTGAACTGCCATCCTTACAAAGGATCTAGAAAAACTTTTATTCAAGAAGCTGCGTCTAGGATACAAACGCTATTCCAAACTGAAATGGAAAAGCGCGCTAGTCTCGATAAAGAAGGTAGCGCCGATTCTTCACAAGTTTTATTTACAAAGCACAAAAACTATTTAAAAATATTTATCTGATAGTTGAAATAAAAAATATATAATAGTATTACTTTCTGGAGTTACATTATATCGTTTAATATTTCATGTTGCATTTTATGTTGCAGATGCAGACACGTGGATATTTCCAATGGTGCAGATGGGTCAGCTGGACGTCCATCACGACAGTGAGATAACATTGAAGCTTATACAAACGGCTCCAGTAGGAGCTACGCTTAGATTAGCGACCGGTTATTTCAATCTAACTTTCGATTACAGTCAGGCTTTGCTTAGAGATTGCCAAGCAACGTGTCAGCTTTTGACAGCACATCCCACTGCCAATGGCTTTTTCAGTATGTTATTATTAAGTTTTTTCTTTGTTATGTCATTAATACAAATTCAAACTTTAAATTATATAATACTGTAAATTAGGACTTATAAAAGATGCGTTCTTTTTGTATAGCATTTTTTTTATAGGATTATAATTTATTTTTCTTCAAAGAGTTCATAGATAGTGTTATAACAATTATTTATCATTGCAATTACTTATAGTATTTTCCTATCTCTTTAAGATGCTAAAGGAATTGCTGGAGGAATTCCGGCGGCGTACACCAGGATAGAGGAATCTTTTTATGATTTATGTGAAAAAATGGATCAACAGAGCAGAATAACATTATGGGAGTTTATCAAGCCGGGATGGACTTACCACGCCAAAGGTCTCTGGTACACTTTGCCGGATCAGCGAAAGCCTTCGTTGACCCTCATAGGCTCCTCAAACTTTGGTAAAGAAAATTTTTATTATCTTAGGTTCTAATCTTAGATACTGGGATATCGATGTCACCAATAAAAAGTATTGCAACTTTTTTTTCAGCTTATTGTACAATGGTTTTCTTTAAAAACAAAGAAACAAATTTTGAAAATCCTTACTTTATTAATATTTTTTTATATGCGATCGTCTTTGAATGAAAAACTATAGACGCAAAATAATTTTATTAAAAAATATAGTTGCAGTATACTTTTTATATTATAGATGCCGCGCGCGCGTCAATATGGTCAATAGTACAATAATTAGGAGAAAAGTCGCATTAAATAATGAATCTCCTCAATATTTCAAACGTTTATAGAGTCCAGTATATATTAAAAATAAAGTATGGCTTAGGTTATAGATCAGTTAACAGGGACCTTGAGACGCAGATAGCCGTGGTGACGAAGAATGAGAAGTTGCAGGACGCGCTGCACGAGGAACAGGCGCAATTATTCTCATGTGCTAAGCCTGCCACAAGAAAGACTTTCTTGCAGCAGGACAGAATACCGCCAGCCTGGGTCTGTGCAATTGTACTTTTCTTTCGTTATTATTTTTGAAATGAAAATGCTTGTCTTTTATAAGAAGGCAAATTACGTATTTTAAACTTATTTAACTTTAGCTATAATATTATTGCGCAATAAGTAAAAAATCCCACATTGATATGCTTCTTATGAAGCTCAAATTAATTCCTATTTTATTTACACAAAATTGTCCATGCAAATTTTTATATCCTTTTTTATTTTTATTGTTCTCTGGAATACTGTTTCTATCGAGTTGGTCGAAAAATTCGTTCAAATTTTGCCAATAAACTTTAAGTGAATTTTATAATCGTCATTCATAACTTATATACGATTCTGAGTTGTGACACCTTTTAGAATGTTTAAAAAAAATCATACATACTGATTGAATAATACTAGCAGTATTAATTTATAAATAGGACATCTAAAAGTGCATTTTTCGCCAACTTATGTGCTTTTATTATCAGGAAGATAAAAATGCGATGCAAGTCCAAAGGATGATTTGAGTGATACAGATGTGATGCTGTGAATGACTAAACATGCCAGAAGTAATCAAGCTATCATAAAAATAGTTTGGCATTATGTAAGAAAGTGTTACATACATTTTCTTAATTAAATATTACATCTTAATGTTTAATTTTGCAGTTTTAACTGTTGCAAAAAATCCGAACAAATTTTCTGAACAATGTAATATAATTTTTAAAATTCTAAAAGATTGTTTTATACAAAAGCTATAGTTGTAAAATTCTCTATTAGAATGTAATAAAATCGTTGTGGAAATTAAAGTTATCTGATGATTTCTGATAGATGATTTTCTGACAAACGATTCTAGATAGAATCTTAGAATTCTTTATTATCTAAATTTTGTATGTGCAAGATTCAAAAATTAATCGTCGTCTCCCAAAGGATAAATTAGCATTTTATTTTGTAAGTTAATAACAGACAGAGCAAACTGTAAATTCGGTGGCGCAATTATTTTCTCGCGGGCTATCCTGTAAGGGATATGATAGAATTTAATATTATTACGGTGCCGTCGCTTTTTGCGCAACGTCGAACACGCGAAAGTGACTTTAATCCAGATACAGTAGTAATAGTACAAGAATGATTGTCTGTTGAATCCACTCATGATTCACAGATCAAGATAATTGCAATAATTCAATTGTAATTATCGATGATGATGGTGACAACGACGACGATTAATATTGCGACACTTTGTAGATGGAAATCGACCGCTGTTTTGTAGAGATTTCCAAGACCAGCAATCAGCGCGCGGTAATTAACAGTTATCCGGTGAAATTTTATTTATCGTCGATCACAAATGTTTCTTCTTTCACGAAAAATTCCACGACCTCCTCTTCTACATTTTTCGAATCAGAATCTAACTCGTCGGTGTCGATATCTGAAAACGTGCACACGCTCGATGATTAATCTCAAATCTTGTTGGAAGAATATTATTCTCAGCGCAATAATATGCAATTATTTCACAAAGGTGTCCATAATTATTTATATAATATTGGAAGGGATCTAATATTATTTTTAATATATACTTACTGCAACGTAATTCAAGACGACGTTTCTTCTGATTATTCCACTCTTCAATACGTTTTGTACGATACTCTTCAAACGCCTTCATCAACAAGCAACGCTTCTCAATTAACTCCTATAAAAATGATCAGTTGTTGAAATAAATTACTATCTAGAAATCTATTGAAACTTTCGAAGAAGAATTGATGTTTCTACGCACCCCCGCACACACAATTATATACTTTACAATTATGCAATTATTTCTTCATAAGAAGAAATTGTTTAATATACATATATTGTTTAAAAATGGATAATATAATTTAAAGATTAAATGCACCTTTGAAGCGCGTGTCAATCGCATGCGATCTTTGCTCTCGAATTGCGCCGAATACTTCTTCAGGTTTTTTTTTATCTCCTTTATCTGCTCTGCGGTGAGCAGGGTCGGTGGCCGCGGTCGCCATAGCAGTTGGTTAAACGCGGTCAGGTTGACTCTCTTTAAAATACGGCCCTGGAACGTCCATATCCAGTAACCATTGTCAACGCTGGTCTTCCAACTGGACACTGCCGTGACGACGTATCTGAAATTAACCACAATGAGAATTGGTAAAATCAATATCTTGATAAATGTATATTTCTTCACTTTATTCATTTTTCTTATACTATGTTCCGATGCTATCTTTTGAATCTACCTGCCGGTAGGATCCCATTCCACGTCTGAAGTTTGATAATGATCAGTGGAGTTCATGATGGTAAAATCGTTGGTGTCAATAAATTCCAGAGCGCCAGCCATCGTTGTGAGGCCAGCTAGGACGATAAACTGACCCGATGGCGACCAAAATAAGTGATTACAAGCTTTCTTCTCTAATCTCTCTGTCAGGAAGGACATTAAAAGTGTGATTTATGAATATTGAACTTAAATTGATGAAATAAAGACTGGCAAATTTTTTATTTAATCAAATATAAAAAGGGTAATAATGGAGATTCTATTATACATTCACTTACTGAGAAGGGCGGGCTGGTGACCGTATCGTACTTCGTAAAAACTGACATTCACGCTTGGTATTTCCCCATGGATGATGGCAAATTTGCTCCCGACCGGCTCCCACGCAAAAGCATGAATCGGCTCCTTTATTTCCACGCTGTCTACGGGAATCTGTTTCTCTCTCATGTGGAAGATTTCAAAGTTGTACGACATACCCTGCAACGCGAAAATACGGATGAGTTTTGATAACAATAATCATTAAAAGCTGTTTCTCAAGATATAAATTTCGAAGAGCTCTCTTGTTCTGAAATACATTAATTAAAAACTATTTCAGCACACGTGCGAAAATAGTTATACTAAAACTCAACTTACCGTGTACTTTTGTTCCGTTTTTTCTTTGCGCTTGGCAAAGCGATCGACTTTTACGCACAGATAATCGCCAGATTTTTGCCAAAAGATCTTGCAGTCGGCTACATTGAACAGGTTCTTATTTCTTATTTCATTACGGCTGAAAGTCCGAAAATTATTTGATGAAAAATCACTCTCGTTTAAATCAATAACTAAATCAAGACTAAAGACTCACTTGGGGATTTCGAGCAGAGTTACCCTAGCCGGGACGTCCTTGTCCTCTGGCACCCAGTAAGCGAGAATGTTGTCCGTTGGGGACCAACTAAAATCTCTGATTCCTGGTATCTTAATGCTCTTCTTATCCAGTAGACCAAATGACTAAAAAATATGACGATAGCAGCAATTAAATAATAAATTCAAAACAATAATCAGTATTAAAAACTGTGTAAACTACATTCAGGAGACTGTGTTGAAACATTATTATAACAAGTACTCACTGGAGTCTCGTAAACGCTAAGAACATCTTCTCCCATGCGCGCTAGATATTTATCGTCATGCGACCAGCGGAAGATTGGCCAGACAGAAGATCCATCGGGAAAAAAGGATCGTTTCTCTTGGCCCGACAGAATATCCCAGATCACCAGACGCTTTTGATCTTGTCCGAGATCGGTACGCGGGGTGTAGGTGACCAGATAACGCTCGCAGGGCGAAAAATCAATGCACTCGACGCCTCGCTGGCTGAATCTGGCCTGTTGGGTGAATTGCGGCCCACCCCATAGTGCGACTCCCAGCTTGTGGAACGTTGCTAGATACGTGCCCAGCTGCGACCATTTTACATATGTCTCTGTCCAGCGCTGGAAAATCAGAAAAAATTAATTTGGATCTTGATCGTGTTGTAACAGATTTAATCGTTGAAGTCCATAATTTCAAAACATCATAGTTTTCATAATTTTTATATCTTAAATTAATATTACAATTATATATATTAAATAAATAGCAAATGAAAATTGTGATATATATTTAGCAAGACACTGAAAAGAGAGTTTACATCAGAATATTTGCTTATTACTTTATATTTTTTCTTTCTCTTAAAAGTAAAACTACTCACATTACGTTCTTCAAGTAAAGTAGGCTCTGGTGCAGAGTTTTGCCAAATTTGCACTGACACACCCGCTCCATTGCCACAAAGAACACAAAACTGATCATAAGCATCCGGTTCCAGCAGATGGTAGTGCAAGTCACTGGCAGACTTGAACGGCTGAGCTAACGGCGGTTCCCAGTTTTCGGGGATATCCTCATATTTTTTGAAGTCCGTGAAAAGATTAACCTTAAATGTATGCGATTTGTCGATTTTGTAATTATTGGTGGATTTGACCGCCGATAGGGCATTCAAATGATTGTTGTATTCCAGAAAAATGTATCTGTCAAGGAAAAAAAAGAAATAATGATCATAAAATATTTTTCGAAGAAATAGCTTCTCTCTCTGCAATCTTTTTCCTTCTTTTCCAATTTTGACCAATTTAAACTAACCCTTTAGTCTTGCCGTCGTTTTCATTCATCGGATAGTGCTGGTTGACAATTGTACCAAATTTTCCTAGCACCTTGTTGATAACAGATTGAAGTTTCTCCAATTTATCAGGTTCCACTCGAGGTACATTATCCACGACAATCACGGATTCTACCCCATCTGTTTCCGATGGTTTCTGCTTCAAGATATCACCAAGCAACTCTACAAGTTCATGACAAAAATTTTACCATTGCAAAAAACTTGCTTCCATAATATAATATAAGAATAAAAAAATATTTAAAATACTTTGTAAACATATTGCAGACATTTCTTATTTAATCTAATAATATTTCTGAGGATACTGATTCAGCAATTTCTCTAAACTATTTATTAATGGCTATGTAAGTTCTATAAATTGTAGAAAGAAATAATTAATTGATACAGTAATTAATTGCGCTTTGTCTGCTATCTGTTCCATAGCAAAATCGCCAAGTTATTCGACTATGGTTGAAATACTTTGTGTAAAAAAAATATTTTCATTCTAATATGCAAATAGATTTTACCATATGTTAATAGTTGTAATTACTTCTCATATGCCTGTTTATAATGTAATGCATCTTTAATTATTTATATAAGAACATTTCATAGACTTATTTCATATAAGAATCAAGGTTTGCTTCTCCAAGAGATAGGATGATTGGGAGCTCAATGACCTCTAAGTAAAAAGCTATGTATCCTATAAGCAGAATTTATCGTATCGTTTCACCCTTTTGAAATAAAATCACTAACATCAAAACAGATACATTGCGTATAAAATAAGAAATACTTTTTTTTTCTTTTTGTAAAAATTCTTCCAACTCAAGAAAGTTATTCAGCACATTTACATATCTAGATGTATATTTACTACTTTTATTTATTTTAAATTATATACTTTCTCCGAAATGTTTATAGGTTAGATTACATCGGCAATCAGCGTGAAAATGAGCAATGTTGTCTCCATCATTCGACATACAGAAGAATTTCGAAATTAGTGATGACTCATCAGAACAGATGGCGAGCGATTTCTGAAGATTAAATCGCAAATGCCACATTTGAAATGCAAAATTCGCCATGCTTGCAGCGCAATGCGGGCGACAAGTGCAGACGTGTCATCTCGTTGAATATTTCGATGAGGAAAAAGATGACGGGACGCTCACCTTCATCGGTAATATCATCTACGAAGCCTTCGGGATCGCTGAAATTGGGCTCCTCATCGTCGTTCATCGGATCGTCGTTGCTTTTAGCGGTCTCCTCGTTTTGTGCCGCTTTCTCTGCCTGAGTTTTCTTCGCCATCTTGGAAACCTCTGAGCAATAGCATACCGTTGTTACCGTACACCGTTTTGACTATATTTAGAGGGCCAGCACACTGGAGGCGATAAGCGATGAGCGATGAACGATATCCAATGAGAGCCCTGCTTTTCCGAAAATGCAGAGCTCTCATTGGATATCGCTCGTCCCGTCCAGTGTGCGAGGGCCATTACACGGCATGACCCTCGCATACTGGATGCTATGAGCGATGAATGATGGGCTATATCCAATGAGAGCCCTGCTTTTCCGAAAATGCAGAGCTCTCATTGGATATCGCTCGTCCCGTCCAGTGTGCGAGGGCCATTACACGTCATGACCCTCGCATACTGGATGCGATGAGCGATGAATGATGGGCGATATCCAATGAGAGCTCTGCTTTTCCGAAGAAACAGAGCTCTCATTGGCATAGATGTCTATACTAAACTAATTGCTAACTTGTCACGATAACAATGGCATGGCTTGCGTCCGATAGGATTCCCAATGTATGAGAAAAAATGGCCGCCGCCGCCACATAAGAAAAAGAAAGAAAGATTTTCTTAAAACTCACACGAATGATTCGCTTCACACACACAGAACTGCCGCCACTTTTTCTCAGACAACCGGAAATCTCATGCGACGCAAGTCGAAGGCCCAGTTAGCAATCTAGTTTAGTATAGATATCGGTGCTCATTGGATATCGCTCATCGCTCATTGTTCATCGCATCTAGGCCGGTATTCATAGTCCGTACTTATATTCAAGATCGTCTTAAGTACGATCTTAAGATACTATGCGGCCATTTCATTGGTTGAATGGGATCTTAAGACGACCCAAGACCACACTTAAGACGATCTTGGATATAAGAACGGACTATGAATACCGGCCTTAGTGTGCGAGGGCCATCACCCTTAGGCCGGTATTCATAGTCCGTTCTTATATTTAAGATCTTAAGTACGGTCTTAAGATGCTAAGCAGTCATTTCATTGGTTGAATTAGATCTTAAGACGACCCAAGACCACATTTATAGTATTTTCGGACGAACGGGTTAGGGCCAATTTCACCAAGCTCGGTTAGATTAACCGACGGTTAAAATTAGCAGGGTTCCAACTGAAATGATAAGGTGAAGGAAAACCAAGCATTCTTATCATTTCAGTTGGAACCCTGCTAATTTTAACCGTCGGTTAATCTAACCGGACTTGGTGAAATTGGCCCTTAATAGCGCCAACCCGGTTCAATTAATCACTATATTTTACTATGAATTCAAGCCTTTTATTGGCAGAGACGATGCAATGACGTCATTAAACATTATAAAAGCGATTAAACCTGCTACGTCCGAAAACGCTATTAAGGGCCAATTTCACCAAGTCCGGTTAGATGAACCGACGGTTAAAATTAGCAGGGTTCCAACTGAAATGATATGAATGCTTGGTTTTCCATCACCTTTATTTTCTGTTGGCCACCTTGTTAATTTTAACCGTCGGTTCATCTAACCGGACTTGGTGAAATTGGCCCTAAGACGATCTTGAATATAAGAACGGACTATGAATACCGGCCTTAG